ACGTGAAAACAAGAATAAATTAGAGAAAGATGCTTTTTTTTCTGTCTTTTCACGAGCGTGCGACAAAGAAAAAATTCTGAGTCCCCATGAGGAATTGAATCGGATTCCGCGTTCCGATGCTCTACCACTGAGCCACAGAAACTCTACGGTGAGCGAGGTGTATCACGAAGTTCATATGACACGCGTCCTGAGTACTGCTGGGATCAGCAATGTTAATAGAATTAGAGAGATGGTAAAGTTTGAGCTCGGTAAAGATATAGAGAAAGATGCTTTTTTTGCGTCCCACGCACGCGACATGACGAAAAAAAACATATTTCTCTACATCTTTACTGAGCTCAAAATTTACCATCTCTCTCATTCTATTTAAGAAAGTTGTTGAATAAAAAGTGGTGGTTGATGCCATGGGGATTAAGGGTGCCGATTTGAAAGATATATTTGTGTTCTAGAGTTTTGCGGCTTTCCGAACTGCCTAGATGTAGGGAAAGGCGGCAAAGCCCCATATGCTGCTAAAAGTGATTAGGGAGATTTAAGTGTCTAGCGACTGGTTTGGATGCGTCCTTGTCATTTCTTTCTACACCGCGAAGGTGTTCTCGTGCACGTAAAGTGATTGGTGATCTTAATGGACGTCTTCAGACCTGATATTTTCTTTAGGTTATGAATGAAAGGACAAGTTTTGCATAGTGAGCGAGCGCATTTGACAGTTCCAGGTTGGTCAATGGTTTGAAATGAACTTCTGACAAAGACAAAAGTTAATAGTGGCCACATTAATATGAGTATCCTGTTCCACAAAAGAAAGACGAATAAAGAATATAAGAACTAATTGAAATTCCAACAATAATTAAATGGTAACAAAAAAAATCACGTTAATAATAATGATGATTACAACAATAATTATATTGGTATGAAGTATATAGCCGCAGAAACAGAGCTTCCCCTGGGAAGCCCTGTTTCTGCAGTTATAGCCAACATCTACATGGAAGAATTTGAGGAACAAGCGATAGCAAATGCGACTTGAAAACCAAAGATCTAGAAACAATATGTAGATGACACTTAGACTTAGACCGGTCTTAGACCGGGACCATGTCGACGGCTTTTTACAACATCTAAACAGTTGACAGCCTACTATTCATTTTACCATGGAAATCGAGAAAGACAACACCGTTCCTTTTCTCGACACAACAGTTACAAGGGACTCAGAAGGTCTTCTCACTAGCACTGTCTACTGAAAGCCCGCCCACACTGACCAGTACCTACTGTTACGCGAAAATTTACTGATTTTTCAGTGTGTTTGTTTGGAGCATATTTATTAGTAAACTTTCACATTTAACCATTTCTAATTTATTCGAGTTAGTTAGTTTAGTGAGTCAAAAAATATATAAAAACCATAGTAGCTTTTGGAATAGATTTTTGTTGTTACTTGCTTCCATAATATGCACCTGATTGTCGGCACTTTTGTTATTTATTACATGGGTTTTTAGGTAAATATAATTGGTTTTCATAGCAGTTAGCAGCTGAGTTTATACTCGTAACTTTAATTTCTTTGCATACGATAGTTTCCGCACCAACCTTGCATAGATAAGCAGAAACTTTTAATTGCTTTACCGTTTTTATTTCCTAAGCTGCGCTACTGCAATTAAGATAGTTATTATTTTCTATACCAGAGCTGTGAATTCGCACCTAAGTTTCCTACTTTAATGGCCTCCAGTTTGTTACATCCGTCTTCTTAATTTTGAAATTCTTTCCGTCCTAGAAACAGATGGAATATTTAAGTAGTTTTCGTTTAACTTCAAAGAGACCTTTTTCCGCTCCTTTGATTACAGATTTAGTCTTGACTCTGACATGATGTATGTTAGAGCGCTCTACGAATGAAAGTACTGTAGAACCAAAACGCTGTCATCACCAAAACGCTTCTTCAATTGTACGAAAACTCGCAAAGACAACAAGGATAACAGCCAACAAAGAACCCGCGCAGGAATTTAACTCTATTACCATTCTCCCTTACATAAAGGGTGTATCAGAGTTTCTTCGCCGCTGCCTACAACATCAAGGCATACGAACCGTTTTCAAGTCGGGACACAACACTTAGGTCCCGCTTAGTACGACCTAAAGACGCCCAGACCATCAAAACAAGACGGTGTCTTTTACAAGATCCCATGCGAATGCAGCAAAGTGTACATCGGTGAAACTGGGAGATCAATACGAGAAAGGATAAAAGAACATGACAGAGACATTCGGTTTGCTCGTACTCAGACCTCTGCGGTTTCGGAGCACGCTAACTAAACGGGGCATATTCCCTATTTGGAACAAGATTAAGTTTATTGATCCTGACCCCCACTAGTACACACGTAGGGTCAAAGAGGCTATCCATATAAGACTTCATCCCAACAACATCAATAGGGATAGCGGAATTGACATCCCGAAGCCTGGATACCCACGATCAAACAACACAACAGCCGATTTATGAGAACCTATGAGGAAGCACCATCTAACAACCGGAATAATAATGAGGATCGAAATGCACCAATAACAGCATATCAACGTACTACAAAAAAGCGACACGTAAACAATCGACATCATAGTCTGATGAAGACTAGCAGTATTGCAGTCGAAACGTCGCGATCTACATCAAAAGTGACTCTATCTTGAGACAAAAGAACAAAATTTATCTCCTATCTTACACCACGATGAACAATAAGCTCATATTTTATTACAGTTGTATACTAGTAATTTAAAGGGGTTAAATCAATCCTCTGGGTTTCAAGAATATTTTTTCTGTTTCTTTTAATTTTCCCTCTTAATTATGAATAACTTTCTTATTTCATTGCAATTGTGTGAGAGGTTTCTCTGATACAACAAGGCATTCCGCGTTCTAGGATATTCCTCCCTTTCGCTGTTCCGCCGTTCCTACATTCCATATGTTAAAGATATCAAGGTATCATATTTCGTAGTTTGCACGTGTACCTCTTTACCTGCTCCATTGATTGCAAAACGATACCGTATTTTTTTTAATACGCGCGTTTATTCGCCTGATTACGTGATTTTTATGCGAAGTACAGGATGGGCAGTGCAATACTGAGGAATCACCTTAAAGGTCTAAAATGCAACAAATCACAATTGTTCAAAATTATCTTGGAATATGTCGGAGGAAAATCCCAATTTCTTGCAATGGACTATATGATAGATTGATGACTTCATGTCTACACTACTAAATCCTCAACGTTTGTTTATCGCTCCATGTCGTAGGTTTTAATTTGTTTCCGCTAAAGGATAATTTATGGGGGAAGACTACGTTAACAAAGTGAGCTTTCTTTATCATCATTATTTGCTTTCAGGGACCAAGGGAAAAGGATGGACCGTTGGAAAAGGTAGACCATTGGATTCTTCAGAGAAAGAAGAAATGTTCGTAATTTTTCTCTTCGTAAATAATCTTTACGATACTCGAGCGAAAACCGGTTCATCAGGGACTGAATTACGGAAGAAATGTTTTGAAGAAGAGGTCAGTATAGTAGGTAACATTCGTGGATCAACGCAATTTGTTACAGATTAAAATTGGAAGGCTTGGGGAGTAAAGACGAAAATTGAAAAGATTTCTGGGTGACAAGCCTAAGTGATATAGCACTGCCTTGTGCTTTTTATAATCTTCATCATCATCTGGAAATTTGATAACCGAGTTCTTCTTTAAAGCTACCATCCAAAACGACCAAGTTATTCAAATAATTTGATGCCATTACAAGCGCTTGTTATTTATTTTTGTAACAAATATACCGTTATAGGCCGACTTAAACGATCGGTTGCTCTTATGAGCTCACTTTCATAATACCTTTGAACATATTTTAAAGTCCTGAAAAATGTCATTGCAGTCCGAGTCAATACCTCACCAAGAAAATCACTCGACATATTTGCATATGAAATTAGCCCCATGGTTATTTCGATTTCATGACCATACGCGAAATTAACGAAAAGCATTTCTAATTTATAGCTGGAATTATGCAAACTGATACTTATTTGCCCTGTCGATCAACAGTGAGGTTCTGAGAGGAGCCAAGAAATATTTAAACTACACGCATAGTAAGAGGAAATGTGAGTTCAAAAAATAACGATAATTAAAAAATCTGAATATTCAATATGACAATAATATTGAAAACTAATTGTTACAGGACTAAGTGGAGTCCAATTCGGTCTGAAATTATACGAGTGATAACAAAATCGGACCGCCCACTTCGATTTGTTTATTACGAGTCTTATTACCAATCAATCATAAAAATTACAAATTCCAAGAAAGCAAGAATAGCCAAGTTATGACAGAAAGGGAAAATTTCCATCAAAAGACTGACAAAGGAGGCGTAAATAGTTGGATGGTTGTGATTAGTCGATTTAAACTACAATTTTAAATGTGATCGGCTTATTGAACTACCCGATAACAAACTGTCCGATAACATCTTGGTAAGAGAATAGGTGGAAAATAGGAGTTTCTAAAGCCTTTCTTATAACGATCATAAAAATATTAATGTTGATAACGATGACAATAATGAAAATGATAATAGTCATAATGATAATGATGACTATGATAATAAAGATAACCACCCTCCAGAGGGAGGATCTCTCTTTATAATAGCCTCTATATGTCTTGCCGTCTTTTTGAACCAACTCTGAAAACTTGGTTGCTCAAACGCACATTTCTCATAAAATTAACGAATATCAATACATACTTAAGCATGCAATTTAAATTTACATACCTAACCGACTGTTTGAAAGGAACCTCGAGATTTTTATTTTATTTTCTCGTTTTTTATTTTTGTTTAATATGTTTTGTTTTGGTTATGCAAAGCCTGGTTTATATACTAAAAAATAATTAAAAGGAAAACAAAATTAACAAAACTAACTGCTACTACAGTGTAAGTACTTCACTAGGATTAACTTTTGAAATTCATCCTTTTTAGAACGTTAGCCGAAAGGAGGAGAATAAACTCATTCCTCAAATGCTGACAACTTGTCGTCACCTACTCCACCAAGTCCTCAACGTTTGCGTACAACTGCTTGTCATAGATTTTCATGTTGATCAGCCTCTGTGGACGAAAGAAAGGTATAGGAGGATTTCTCTAATGTCCATCAATAATTTTTTATTTCCGCATGACCTTACCTAAAATGCTCAAACGCTTGGCAGCTAAGGAAACGAAGTCTTGAGTTGTACTTAGTTGGCTGATTAAGCAACTTGATGTAGAGTACAGGCACATAGTTGCCGAGTTTATCCTGATCACTTCGATGTGATTAAACATTTTATAGGTGAATAATTCGACATATTTTATAATGTCCCCTTTATAATATAACGTAAAAAGTTTACCTTGTGTAATGTTTCCATTGTTTTGAGCTGGTTTCTAAGATCAAAGAACGTTGGTCTTTTACCCGGGTCATCTTGCCAGCATCTCAACATTACGTCATACCTACGTTTCATTTAACACAGGTTGGTACTTAATATACGTAAAGTGCATTTGATAAAATTGAAACGAAACACTCGAGTTGTTTTCACGATGAATTCATCGCTATCACCGAAAATTGTTTAACTGGTTATTTTCTCGAATGTGGATATGCTGATCGATATGCTAATATATGTCAAATTTTAAACAATGAAAATCTCCCTAAAGTAAGGAATAAATTTAATCACTGAACGAGAAAAAAATGCAATAGACTGAGACTTTCTTATTACTTATTAAATATAACTTAAAAGTCGTAGAATCATAGGCACAATAACATTTTCAGGTCTCATTAGAGTGTTAGCCTTAAAGAAACTTTACCGCTTACAATTTATCGTCCACATGTTGTGGTTTAGGCATTCTGTATCCTTGCTGAAGTAAGTTGGCAATTTTCCTGCCATCCATCCGCGGATACGGTGAACCACCTGATATAAGGAAACTTTGTACATTGTTGCATCACGAGCACAATTCTATAGCTAAGCTTGGATTTTATGCGGCAAAATGGAGAAATGATCGAAATTAATATATGACATGGAATGCGTCCTCTTAGTTAGAGAGAACGCCTTTGAAAGGGTATATATCCGATCGTTCCGTACCCGGTGTCGTTTTGTACCCAAGTTTGAGTCGGCTCGCACCAAATTTGAGTCAGGTCGCACCCAAGCCACGGATCGATTCTTATCTGATTTTTACTCTTCCTATTTATTCGAAACACCTACCGCGCGAGCGCGTGAACAGATGTTAATAGTTGCGTACAACAAGGTAGTAAAGTCAAGCGAGTATTAGAAGTACGGAGAAAATTATTTTGTGTGTATTGGAAACATTATTGCTTAGCGCAAGGTAAGTGTTACATTTTACTGTGTTGGTTCCAAATAAACCCCTCAAGTGTTGAATAAACGGCTGTGAATATATGAAAGTCATATATTTGAACTGCGGATAAAGACGAAAAAATATGAAAGCGATCTTCGCAGTAATGAACACTACTTAAGCAGTAGTGAAAAGAAGGCCTGAAAAAAATTCAGGCCTGTACGGGATTTGAACCCATGACCTCTGCAATACCGGTGCAGTGCTCTACCAACTGAGCTAACAAGCCAACTGGGAGCTGGTCACTGTGTTGGTTCCAAATAAACCCAAATAAAAAGGCCGTACAGGCCTGAATTTGTTTCAGTCCTTCTTTTCACTACTCCTTAAGTAGTGTTCATTACTACGAAGATCGCTTTTAAAATTTTTTCGTCTTTATCCGCAGTTCAAATATATGACTTTCATATATTCACAGCCGTTTATTCAACACTTGAGGGGTTTATTTGGAAAACTAATCAATAAGTATTACCTATTACCTATTGTAAAAATCTCATAAAGGACAACTCCATAGCTCCATCTACGAGGTAATAAAACAATGCGGGAAATTCAATAACTATCAGACATTTTAAAACATTCGGCTTTCCTGTCCCTTGAAAGTATTAAAACTTTTCGCAACATACATAATTTGATTATACTAAAGACTTGTGGAACACCATCAATACATGCTATGAAACTACTGCCACAAGTACATTTTTATGGTTAAGAGCAAAGAAAATGGAATAAAAATTCATTGCACAAGACTTACACATCACTTTTGGTGGTATATTTTCCATATAACAGCGCTTCATAAGCTGTCCACTTCACTGGAAGGCGACCCTTTTATTAAAAAAAAAATTTCGGTTAAGAATATTGAGGCCGAGGAAGATGAACGACTATGTGACTCGGAGACGCTCTTTTAAAATATTCAGTATCGTCAGTGCGTTAACCATGTTTCAATGAAGAAAATATTCATTCCGAGAGGAATTTCTTTCCAAGAAACTACTTTTTCCTACTCTGTCCTCGGGTAACTTCAAAATTCACAAACACTCAACATTGACCAAAATTCATCCCATCCAAAACTTCTACCTCGAATTAAACTAGGAAAGCACTGTTATATACCCAACTGTTGAACGTACAGCAAACGATACTGTCTGCTAATTTTGATCAGCGTCTGCCAGAATTGACATCATTTCATCAAAGTGAATTCGTCGATTACATGTCTAAGCACACTGGCTGCTGTACTTAACAAATGACAGGCACTTTTCGCACTCTTTGCAACACATTATCAGCTACATCATCACTTAAATATAATCTTAATTCTCTATGAAAGATTGATAAGGTGAGGGGTAACATTCTCCAAGAACTAAGCCTGTACTGTAGTGATGCAACTCATCTTTCACTTCCTTTGTTATCTGGCCAGCGGACAATACGCTAAAAGTGCATCATAGTATGGATGCAGTGGCCCTTACGCCAGGTTGAATTTTGTGACGAAAATGTGATCGGTGAGGAATTCACAGAAAATTGACGCGTTTATGTTCTCAGGAAATGTGATCGGTCAATCGATTCGCAGATAATTTAAATAGCAAGCAAAGCAAGAGCTGAGGCGATCGGATAAATAAATAATTAGTTCATACTTAGCGTGCGACGTTTATAGACCACGAAAGAAGCAAAAGAGTTGCTCCAGGCGCAGCCGAGAGAAGCTTAAGAGTTGCTCCAAGCGCAGCCGAGAGCAACTCTGACATACAGACACAAATTGTGCACGAAAAAAAGAGTTTATCACAACTGTGTCGGGTTTACCAGGTAATCATGTTCTAACCAACAACTGTGGATAAAGGACAAAGCAAAAACGACCAAGAAATATTTCGAGATAAAATCTTTATTCAAATAATTGTAAAATCTTCTGCTCAGAAGGGAAAAGAAAAGTCCCTAACGTTGCAAAGCCTCAGTTGAAGTCGGAAAGCTCAGTTTTGTTTTGAGCCATAATGACTCAGTGAAGCAACGCGTTTGGGAAAAAAAAGTATCGTTGACTCCAGAGCTAATTTTGTCGTTTGAGAGAGATACACGGTCATTGTTTTCCAAAACGAGTATTGCTAAGCATAACTATTATTAATTTTGAGCGCCAAAAGGTCTATCTTAGTCGGAATGGAAAAGAATAACATTCTTGAAAGGTATAAACCGCCGTCGCTAAACTTGACGGGAACTCGCAGTAGAGGTGAAATTGTACACGTCATGTTATGGATGCACGGCCGTGCTTACTAAGCCAATTTTGGCTTAACTGCATAGAGAAAGACTGTTTTTTTCAAATTGTTGTAAATTAAACAATAGGTTTCGAAATTAAAACTAAAAGAAAGTTTCCAAGGTAACTTTGATCCCGATAACGCGCGATGCACTCCCTCATCAAACGTATCTCTATTTATTAAAGGAAATTTTGAGTAAGTGTATGCACAATCTCAAGTCCGGATATAACGCGAGTAGTTATTGGTTGAAGGAGCGTTCTCTATCAGAGTTCAATGTATAGAGCTGAACCAAAGCTGTCACGCCATCTGCCAGATTGTACTATGTCCGACCTTTTCTGGGACTTCCTCTTAGCTTTTTTTGGTTGATTGAAAGTGAATTTTCAGAACAGCGAGCCGGCAAGTGGCAACAGAAGGGCCGAACAAAGGTTTGTAAACATGCCTAGCGATGTAATTTACGCTATCAGAACGTGAGCAGAAATGGAAGTCCCAAAGAGAAAACGAAATGGACAGTCTGAGTTTTGAACCTTGTAACGCTCAGTTAGATTTGCATACTTACGTATGGTAATAAAAATCAAACACAGCTAACACTCCTATAGTATATATAGTTTCGAGTTCAAAAACAAAACAGAACAAAACAGGAATGAGGAAAAATATAGCAAGACTGGCATAACTGTTAAAATTCGTACTAATAATGATAGTGTCAGAGCTACTGCGATCCTGCTGAGGTCCATCGCGGCTAGATAATCATGGCGATCCCCGGTAATCGCAGTGAAGCAAGCCTCAGATATTATATCGGCAGCCCTTCGAGTGAACAACTAAGAGCTTGCTCTAATACTATTTCTGATGCTTTGACTGGAAGGCTACATCAGTCACAGCAGCCGAGTTTTATGATGCTGTCATTCCGAGCTCGAGCAATTTCAATTCATGTTCCAGTGCATTCTGCTGTCTTTCATTCATAAAACACACGCCTCGAGAAGTTTGTTCTCTAATTGTCATGAGAAAAAAACTTACGTGTTTTCTTGAGAATTCGGTCGGATTTCATTGAATATTTCACTTTTCACTTTTCACTGTAAACTATTGCCGATTGTGAATTTTGATGGTTTGGGAACTTTGATGGTTTGTCCTTTTTGACAGCTTTAGTCTTGTTCAACCAATCAGATTATTTGAACCATTCTAACAAAGATCCTGATTAGCTTATTGTAGCGTGCCTTATGAGAGTATAGAGTATGCTGACCACACTGTTGTTCGCTTTGGAAATAAAGCTTGTTTTGAAAATTGACAGTAATGCGTGGGGAATTTAAAGGATGATTTATAATGAAACAAAGAAAGAAGTCTTGAATGCGCTCTGTTCTGTTGTAAAGCACTTGGAGAGCGGCTAGAGCACTCAAGAAGTAGGTAGAACTTCCTTCGCGATCTAGCTGCCTCCTGCGTGGTTTACAACAGAACAGAGCATACTCATGACGAAAACATGTCATGTACTGAAGCAAAACCTATTTCTTTCTTATTACCTTTGTCTTTCTCTCATAGATATTTTCCTTTTGCACATTTCTAGCCATTCCGAAATCTGTTACTTTACATGTTTCATTTTCTCCGACCAGCACGTTACGCGCTGCGAGGTCTCGATGGATGATCTAACAGGAAGGAGAAAAAATAGGCCGTCTGAGATTACATGTGGCTACTGATAAAGCAAAATTTTTATGGCATTGAATACTATTAGTGGTTGTATAATATGATGTATATATATATATATATATATATATACAATTCTATCTGATTTAATCTGACAAGTAGTTCCAAACTTCTTAAACTTACAGATTTCGACGACAAGTAACTCATGCCATCAGCGATTTGCCATGCGAACTTCATCAGCTGCTGCGATCTCAAGTTTGTTTGTGGTTTGATATCCGGGTCTTTATAATAAGTGTCATTTAGTCCACGGCTCTTTCTCAGGTAACCCAGCAAATCTCCAAAAGGTACATATTCTATCAACACCAACAGTGGCTCTAAGAAAAAAGGTCAGAAACGATGAAGATTATTTTACGTTAATGAGTTTCTTTACATTTCATAGTAAAGTTATGGTACCTAACCAATCCTTGATTACACTATGTTAGGTCAGTCTGACCAGCTTGGTAATTATGTTAATGTCATAAAACAGCTGCTAAACAAAGCTATTACGGACACTTTATTAAGCATACTACGCACGCAAGAGTTACCTTTTGGGATGGGTGGGTTGGGATGGGTCACTAAGTAACTGATGTTTGCATTTTTGGAAAAGAAAAATAATTTCATTCTCAAAAGATTTCAAACTTCTTGTGGCGCTATTGCATTGTAAAACATGACATACATCGTAAGGCAACTTATCATTTAACCACGTAACGGTAAATTGTCAGGTAAAAAAGTTACGAGGAAGGGGCACTTAAATCACTATGAGGAATCGGACAACATCTCTATCACTGAAGAGCGGTTGGGATATAAATAAGGAAAGTGAAGAATAGGAAACCAATTTTAATGAATTTAATTTAGAAAAAGGGCCCTAAAGTAGCCTCGTTAACTCTACACGACAACCTCCTGATCTCCGTTTTCCAGTAATTTCCAGAAGTGTTACATCATACACGAATAAAGCAAACAGTTGCATGAATCAGCTCACCAGATTCCGTAACACATCCCAAAAGTTTGATGACGTGAGGATGTGGTTTTAGCTGCTTCATTGTGTCAAGTTCCGCTATCAAATCTCTCTTGTCAGATTCCGCAGCGTTACCTAGAGATTAAAACCAGCAGAATATGAAAGGCTTTAATTTCGTCAGCGCCATTCATTAGTATGGGATCTTTTCGGTAAAATGTCACTTGATAGAGGAAGCCGAGGTAAAATTTACAGTACCTTTTGCGTGTGCTACAGCATTTCACGCGTGCGTCAAGCGTGAGTAATAAGTATTAATTGAATGGACTTCGTAAAGTAAAGGACGTGCAGTAGGAAAAATACACGTTGGTTTGTATTGGTTTGCATTTATATGCAAATACGTGTATTTTAACTTGCTTGCCATTCACTGCACGCACTTGCGTGTACTCTTTCACAATAATGCTATCGCTGTTGGGATTTGTATTCCAAAGTTGAGCGTTCAAACATCATTCGCTTTAACAATTCGCCCTTCACTTAATCTTACTTTTGTGTGATACAATTTCAACGCAGCATGCCCGAGAACTTAAACATTGACTTTCACCTTCATTTCAAGAAGAGCAAGCCATTGAAATCGAAATGCTGGAAGGAACGAGAAATAGAGAAACCTATCTACTTGTGGGAGAGATATTCTGTGATCACTGAATTTGTTGTTTTCGAACACAGGCAAATGGTGCCCTTGAATGAAAAATTTTGTTACATACCAGGCAACGATTTCTAGGAACAGATCAACTTTTCTTATTCATCGAAGCACTTATAATTGTGATGCCATTTAATGTAGGAATCTATGTTAACGATTCTTTTTGTTTTGACTTCCAAAACTACATTCAAAATTCGATCATTCAAATTTCGAGTTAGAAGAAAGAAAGTATTTAAAGAACAGCGGAAGCGGTGCAAATTGATATTTAAGTCTTAACACACACGTTTTCAATTTTCAAGGGACCCAGCAAAATGCAGTGACTCACGCATTCTCTGATTTCTTACGAAGAAGAATGACTCCAATGTTTGTCACACACGTTTGTCTCAGTACACGCATTCAATGAGTTATAGATGACTACCTTTGTGTAGGTTACACAAAGTTAGCATTTCATACCCACACGCGTTGACTTTTTAATACACGAAAAATTTCAGCAGAATATAAACAATTTTTAAGATATGTAGGATCATACTTTTGAGCATTTTAATGGCCACTGTAGCTGTCCCAGACCTTTCTCGGAATTGCTCTGCTGTTCCCTGAGCAACCTGACCAAAAGCACCTTTACCAATGATTTTTTCTACAGACACTTGATCCCTTGGAACCTCCCAAGAGCGTGTTGATGGATGAAGTGGCGCGTAATCAGCCACGTGATGAGCGCTTTGTTCTTTGGTATTGCGTTCAGTACTTATTTCTTTGAGATCCATGTATTCTGCGCGAGGCTGGATAAAATGTCTTGCATCTGAGCGGTCGCCCTCCTGATCTTTCATCGGCATTTCGTTCTAAGATGAAGAAAAAGAAACGAATCTTTTCTACCTTTTAAGTCGGCGAAACATCGCCCGGCTATATTTTAACGCTAAGGGTCTTTTTTTTCTAAGGTTAAGTCTAAAAGAGTCTAACAATTGGAAAAGTAGAAATTTACAAATAATCAGAACTTTCCTCACATCATATACTTCTCTGCTGTCTTCATATGGTCTAAAATAAAACAAAATGTGAGGGTTAAGTCTTTGTTATGTTTATAACTGTTTGTACTTGTATTGTCACAAGTGCAAATTTGTAGTCAGTCCTTTTATGTCATTATAACAACTTTTTCCGTCTTAAAACTACATTATTATGATGATAATGACTACAGTGATGACATTAAAAGCATTTACTTATACACGATAAAAGTTCAGCGTGGTTGTGGCGGTCGTGTCTAAGTCAAGTCTAAAAAGCTAAAGAAAATTAGTCCTAATGAAAACTACAAATACATGATTAAAACGACAAATTGAAGATTCTACCAACGTCAAATACTACTAAATTAAAATGTGTAAAACTCAGAGAGAATTTTATTAATTGTCCAACCAGCTGTTCATACTGATACTGAAACTTATTTGTCGTGTCATTCATTTTTTTTTTTTTTTTTTTTTTGCGAGTCATAGAGCATCAGAAAGAACCTAAAATAAAATCCGAATATCCTTTTTAGCATTTCAGTTATCATTGTGGGTGTAACAAATGCTTTATTCTAAAGAGAGCAATCCCTCGTCTTACTGGATAGAGCCGCTTAACAAATCAATCCCAAAGGAAATAAGACTCACCTTTGCTTTGCCGCAGTTTCTATCAAAAGGAAAAAAATAAAAGATGAGGGCAACGTTACGTAACAAAAGGTGCATAAGAGAATTAGATGGCACCTCAAGGAAAACCAAGAATCATTTACCTTTTTTGTGAATCCAAACCACATGGATAACGAGAATGATATTAAATAGAAGAAGAACTCCGATGATGGCTCCAAGTAAGACGTGTTTACAAGAACATTCACAAATGTTCATCTCTGTCAAATAAAAATTCATAGACCGATTCATGTATACCTATTCAGACTCGGATTTTTTTCATATTCTGCAACATAAGGTAACGGTCAAACATAAATCTAAGATTGCTGAAGATGATGTTAAACAAGCGCTGCACTCTTCCACATTTAAATAAACCTGAGGCTGTTCATAACTGGTCTTCTGCTCGTGGAAGATTTACGTCTAAAATCCTTTTACTGCACTGTATTTCTAGGATCTTAATGTCAGTATGAAACGTGTACATGCAATTTTTCGGTGTAAACAATTCTACCAGTCAATCAATATACAAGAAATGATCAACAACAGAAAAGATTTGTTACTAATTTTAATCAAAACATGACGATGGGTTACCACAGCCACCATGGCCATCTGATTGTTGATGTATAATTAGGATGGTTACGTATAGCCTTAGGTTGCAAAGCCAAAACTATTTTCGTGACAGTAAAGAATTTTCCTTACGACTCGCCGCGCACTTTTACCTGTTGGTTCTTCTGAGCTAAAGGTTATTTTGGTGGTGCTAGAAGGTGCATCAGACGGTACCTCATCATCAGAAATCGCTTGGATCGATCCTGGGTCAACTGCAAAGTCTCCAATACCTTTGCCTCCAGGTGTAACAGCCTTGCTCAGAACTGACAAAACTTTGCTTATCTCTTCATCTTGATTGAATTCCAATGAGAGATAGACAGTTATGCTGCCGCATCTGGGAATAACAATGGAGCCACAACTTAACATGCAAAGAAAATCTCAGAGAACTTTCAATTGGTCAAGTAGCATCAAGACAACCGCAACAAATTGTTTAGTTCATATGCGAGCTGTAATTTTTGGCGACCTGATGAGTGCTTCTAATTCCCTATTGTAAGCTCTATAAAGGCTTTGAATGACGCAAGGGCCTTAGTAGTATACAGTGTTTACCCCAGGTTCATAAAAATGTTCTAAACATACCCAGGGCTGGATACAGACTAGTGCAATTAGTTTCCAGAAACTAGTCAGAATAGTTAAGACATTTTAAAAAACCTACGAAAACCATGCCAGAAGACGCCAATTCGTTCCAGGTGTTTAATTATAAGGCATAATTTGTTAATTCCAACCGCACTGCATTTTTTGCCAGCCTCCAGCGGACCAACGCCTTGAGTTTCACTGAGCCCCGTCCTCACCCTTCCCCCTCCCCCTCCGTAGATCTCTGCTCCATAGGTGCATCAGTGCAAATTTTCTATTTTTTTTTTGCGCACTAGTCAAAACTTTTTTTCATTAGCTGAGCATAATTGTGCACCAGTCAAAGTCTCTTCTCATTGGCTGCCCCAGGTTACCGTGTACTGGTCAAAGAAGGTCACTGGTCAAAGTTGCGCACTACTCAAAACTTTTTTTCATTAGCTGAGCATAATTGTGCACCAGTCAAAGTCTCTACTCATTGACTGCTCTAGGTTACCTTGCACTGGTCGTGAACTACTCAATCTGAGTGACGTGTCATGGCGTCAGTACTTTCAAAGGAGCGTCAGTCTGTTTGTCGAAAGGAAGATTGTTCACCGTTTGATATCGGTACCGTGAACAGAGTCATTGCCTCGTTAACCGATGCTAAAAAGTTTCGGTTTGTTGAAAGTGTCTGGAAGCCAAATCGTCTGTTCGAGTTTCCCGCGTCGAAAGAAACCTCTGGAAAGCAGCGAAAGTTTCTGCAGGAATGGCTCGTGAAATACCCTTGGCTTGTTTATTCCAAGTACTTGGATGGCGCGTCATGTTTGCCTTGTGTCTGTTTCGGAATGGAGTGTGGCAAAAATGGTGCCAAATTAGGCAAGTTGTTTCGACCCCGCTTACATTTTGGACGACGGCGCGTGGAAGGTTCGACAGCCATGCAAGCGGAAAGTCAGAAATTCACGAATTTTTTGTTATGGCAATTCAGAATTTCGTGGCTGCAATGAGAAGGCAAACCGCCGGCACCCCCATTGATCAGCAGTTAGACCGGTTGATGCAAGCCCAGATTGATGAAAATCGAGAGAAAATGAAACTGATTGTGAAAACAACATTCCGTTAAGGGGAAAACGAGATGACAACTCTGATAACAGCAATCTCCAAGGAAACTTTCAAGCCCTTCTGGAGTTTCTTATCGACAGTGGTGATGTAAAACCTAAGGAACATCTCGAGAATGCGCCAAGAAATGCCACTTACCGCTCCAAAACGATACAGAACGAAATTATCGAGACTGTGGGGAATTATATTTCCTTCAAAGATCATCGCGGAAGTTAAACAAACAAGAATGTTTTCTGTTATGGCTGACGAGGCAGCGGACATTTCCAACAAAGAAAACCTATCTCTTGTCCTCCGCTATGTCGACTCTTCAAAGAATACTCGAGAGCAGTTTGTTGGTATCCGCCTTTGTGGAGAGGAAACAACCGGTAACGCAATCAAGGAGTTAATAATTAATTCAGTTCATGACCTTGTAGAGGTCAATCTTATGATGGTGCTGGGAACACGGCTAGCAGGTACGTTGGTGCATCAACATTAATCCAACATCAGTTTCCCAAAGCGATTTATGTTCATTGCATGAATCACTGTCTCACCGTCCTTTAGTAACTCGTCTAAGCGCCAGAATCACTTTGTTGACAAGATTAAGGAGCTATTACCAAACAGCAATCACAGAATTTTAATTGATGTTTGTCGCACTCGGTGGATTGCTCGTTGTTACGGGAAAATTTAATGATTTTTTCCGTGTAGTTGTTATGCGGAACATGTTTATTCGGAACATGTTTATTCGGAACATGTTTATTCGTAACCCTTCACACTTAACCATTCCATTCCTTTCATTTTGGCAAATCAAAAAATGTATAAAAACCACAGTAGCTTTAGGAATAGATTTTTGTTGTTACTCGCTTTCATCATATGCACTCGCTTGTCGGCACTTTTGTTATTTATTACTGGTTTTTTAGGTTAAAAAAAAGTGTTAATGGTCTTTCTGGAAAAATTAGTTTTCATCGTAGTTAGCAGCTGAGTTTACAATCGTGACTTTAATTTCTTTTCATGCGATGGTCTCCAAACCAACCTTGCATAGATAAGTAGAAACTTTTAATTGCTTTTCCGTTTTTGTTTCCTAAGCTGTTCTGCTGTAATCAAGACAGATATTATTTTCTATACCAGAGCTGTGAATTCGCTCCTAAGTTTCCTACTTTAATGGCCTCGAAATTATTGTATCCGTCCTTTTAATTTGGCAATTCTTTCCGTCGTAGAAACAGATGGAATATCTAAGTAGTTTTCGTTTAACTTCAAAGAGACCTTTTCCGCTCCTTTGTGTCCTTATTCAAATATTGCGATTTGTGTAACAATAGCACCTCACACCAGTTAGTTCTTAAGCAAGTACCTTGTACGGCTTTGATGATTACAGTTTTAGTTTTGACTCTAGCATGACGTGTGTTAGAGCACTCTACCAATAAAAGTCTACTGTGGACCCAAAATGTTGTCTCTTTCTTGACGTCCGTATAAGCTCACTCGAAGCAGATCTCCGTGCGCCAGGAAATCGTGACGAGTTTCCGTTCTCGCAAGCAGAGTGGTCTCTACCGAGTTAATTCCCCCCGTTTGTACGTTCCTGCGAAAGTCCAGTTTAGTGCGCGAAAACCTATCGCCACATCGTATTGATGGTTTAGATAGAACTGTTGAGCTCTTAGTCCCAGTTTTGTCAACATTGGAAAATGTGAAGCTCAACATGGATAAGAATGGTGTTGTACGCGCCGGTACTTTGAATCCCAAAAGTCGGGATAATGCACGGTCTTTACTAAATGCTGTCACTTTTGAATTTATTGTGACGCTTGGTATTGTTAAGTATATTCTTAATTTAACAAGGCCACTGTTAAGCTGCTAGGTGAAGAAATGGACATTCTTAAGGCTGAGCAGGAAATTGCCACTCTACAGAATGCCCTTAAAGACATGCAGACAAACATTGAGGGTCATCATCATCGGTTGTTTGAAGAGGCAGTACAACTTTCACAGAAAGTTGGTATTCAACCTAGCAGACCAAGAATTCTCCAGCGCCAAATTTTTCGAAGCAACTGCCTTGCCTCAACTCCAGAAGCATACTATCAGATCAACCTTACGCAAGTGTTTTTGGACCATTGCTTGTAGCAACTTTAATCAAGATTTCCTCCAGAAGCCTATGTGTGTTTTAAGGTTTTTCTATTGTACCATCTGTTTTGTTGAAAACTCCATCAACCTAGAAAGCTCAGATTCAAGAGTTTTGTCATCGTTATGCACAAGATCTTCCAAATGTTGTTGGCCTGCCTGCCTGCCGAGTTCGACTTGTGGCAAAGAATATGGACAGAGAAGAAAGAAAAGGCAGAGGACATTCCTGAAAAGATTGCCAGTACTTTGAAAAGTGTTGATCTAGCTTCTTTTTCAAACATCTTCACCACCCTACAGATTCTTGCAACAATCCCGGTTACATCTTGTTCCTATGGGAGATCAATATCTTGCCTTCGTTATCTTAAGAATTATCTAAGGGGCACAATGGGAGAAGAGAGATTGAATGGCTTGGTACTTATGCATGCTCATAGGGACATTGCTTTGGATTTGGATGAAATCATTATCTTATTTGCTTCTCTTCATCCCAGACGAATGAGAATGGCCAATATTTTATGCAGTGATGACTAAGAACTTCTACTTTGCTATGCAACTTTTCTTTATTTTGAACTTAAAACCAACTCTGGTAAAAAAAAACATTTCCTTTTGCCTTGGGCTTGTAGGTGGGGAACCTCCTAGTGGTGGAGCCTAGAAACATTTCTATGGCTAATACCCGACTGGAAAATGTGATATCATTGAAATATTTACTTACCTATAGTAACACCTATGATATGTTGAACATTATTTCTATAAAATGTCTTTTAGTAAGTTTTTTCCAAGAAAAATTGCTAAATTTGAAAGGATTGAAAGCAAATTTTCATACTTATTTTGATCCTAAATATATTTCCAAATATGCACCAGATTGTATCACAGAGCATCCAAGTTTAGAAAATTTTCCAGAGGAGAATGCCCCCGGACCTCCCTAGCAAGCTCAGGGCTACGCCCTTCGATTTTAAGTCTCAAGGAAAAATTTATTTTGTTAAAAACTAGTCACACAAATTGCTGAATCCACCCCTAATGCCCATCTGAATTCAGATGTTCTTGGCAGGATGGCAGGAATTCAATACGCAAAATGGCGAACCCCGGTTCAGCAATGATCCACCCGGTGCAAACTGCTGTAAATGACTCTCTTATAGCCTTCTGCAACGAATCACAAAGTTACAGAAGTATAATATTACAAGCAAACATCTTACTTGTACTTTGTAGCTTCTACTGCTTCCAACGACGGAAACACTAATTTAAGAACTTCACCTACCTATTCAGGGATTAAGACAAAAATTCCATCAATTGATAAGCTCTAACAAGGCAAGTTACTTTGAAGCACATAGAATATTCGGCCATTCAAATATCCTAGATCTTCTCGGGTGTAAATTCCACTTCTTTCTCTCTATTTTGAATTTCCGAGTTGCGTAACGCCGAGTTGGTTATAATAATAACATAACGCCGATTTGGCTATGATAATTACATATCAGGCAAGCCTGAGTAAAGTAATTATTTTAGTAAAGACGCACTCAAAAATTTTTGGTTTAACAACAACCGGAAGACAATAGCAACCTCCTCTAAAAATAACAATAATATGCTTTACAACTTCGTGAACATGCATGCCTTGCCTGCATGATCCGGTAAATGATTAAAAAAAAGTGAACTTTGCGTATTTTTCAATGTTCTTCGATGGAAAAGTGGATGATTTGAACGTTTACATAGCTTTACACTCTCTGAAATTGCCCAAACTGAAAAGTTTTCACCTGAATGGGCCGAAAAGATTGTGTTTACCTCCGAGAGGCGAGTGAAGGAAGCAGTCATTGGCCAATTAGTTCAGCAAATCAGTAGGCTTTGAAATAAATTTAATTCTGTTTTAACTTATGCAAAATAGACAGTCTATGGCCGTAGCTAAATAGAGGAAGTTTTCTTTAGGCATTTAAGGCGTGTAAATTTAAGCGATGCAAAGTAAACTTGTCGCAGTCAATTTAGGGTTTGCGAGTTTTTTGAGAGCTCTTGAGCTACAATAAATTTATTCCACAGTTGACCCACTGGCATTACATATTCTGACGTGATTTCTCTTCGATCGGTTGTTGTAAATCGCCTTTATTTCTTTTACTTACTTTGGACTGTAGTTGCTGAAGGGTTTCTTGAAGATTATCGTTGCAATCTCTGTTAGTGACGGTTAACTTTATGTTGAATTTATCGTCAGATACAACTTTAGAAAGAAAAAAATTTTAAAAAATTCAGATCCGTAACATACACAAACACTTACACACATTATTTCATAGTCTCTGTAACATTATCAGAAAGAAACGCGAGACGCATTTCAAAATTGCTACATTTGATAACATTGGATCAAATCTACTTACTGAGGTGAAACCATTTGAAAACCATGTTTAATTCATTTTCGACCTTGCAGCGATACCAACCAGGGCTGGACTCTTTTACTTGAAAAATCACTTTACTGGGATTATCTTCAGAATTCCAATTCATGTCGACATCGTCCTTTGTCCAGGTAACTGTAGGTGGTGGGTAACCGTCTTTGTAACAAGAAAAGTTAACCTCTTCTCCAGGTTTCTTACTAAACGTCTGATTTCCAGGGTTTTTGATCACCGCTGGATCTTTGAGTTAAAAAACAAAACAGAAAAACAAGAAGAAAATCAATGTTTTTCATTGTGTAACAGGCATACTCACCATGTGAAAATCCAGCAATAACGAACAGTACGACGCATGTTATAGTGCTAAATTGTGGCAGAATTAAGGCAGTTCAGCCAGAAAAGTACATGTATTTTGCTAAACCTAAGTTTTTATTTACCGGAGTAAGTTAACGTTGTCACGGCAAATGCCTTTTCATATATACCTAACGCAAAACTGATCCAAAGTGAAATTAAGCCCTTGTAACTTATCTATAGAAACGTTTCAAGTGACCAATATCACAATAACCTCGCTCTGGTGATATGAGATCCACAGATTTGAATCTTCAAATATAGATTCCACTCCCTTGCTTTGAGAATTTTAACCATGTGGTAAATTTTCAATTTTGGAAAATATTATATCATGTACAGTGATGGGACTGAGTTAAGTTCAGATTGGTAGACGAATTGACAGAAAAGAGCAAAAAGGTGTCTAATTTCTTTGGTAAGAGTATGAGCACAGACATAGTTGGAAGACACATAACGACATATCAATTTTCATTCACGGTGTTTCAGAGGTATTCGCAGTACGTAAGTTAACGTGAAGTTTCCACTTTCTTTCTTTTCCGCGTTCATCCTTTCTTTCGTGTCAAACTCGAAAAGAGAATGGAAAAAATGAAAACATGAAATAAAGATAAACTATGAACGAGTCCGTCGCTTTCAGCATATTTTTTCGGCCGATCAAACGTTCCCTCTTCCAAATTCGCCGCAGCGGTTGACTTGCTTTATCCAAATTCATTAATACCTCTCCCTAAAGAGAGGATTTTCATTCCCTTACAGTCACTGCTAGGGATTTCGCGAATAAGTCACAATAAAAATCACCCCAAAACTGGATCATTTTCTTGGAATTTACCAGACGCATTCTTTATGATTTCTGAGATAAAATTCATTCAAACTATCGATCCTCTAATCTGAGGAATTAAAAGAACTCCATCAGTGACATGCTGCGAACTTGGAATCAGCATAATTTTAGTTTTAATAGCTTCATGTAGGTCTTTTGTGTTTATTCGTTTATATAGCTTATTTATTTATTTTTGTATATCACTCTTATACTTGTCACATAGTTAGGAATCAAATTATTTAAACCTTAAAGGGCCAGTAATTTACGAAAGGTCTAACCCAAACCGCCGTTTTACGCAGGTGGGCATCAGGGATTCTCTATAAGGGGGTTAGTTTAATTAAATAAATATCCTTTGACAATTAGCTTTGAGTCCTCTTGATATTGTTATAAAAACAAATGTTCAGATAAAAGTTCTAGCTAAATTGAAGATGGCATGACGAGCTTTGCTCACCAAAAGATTTATGCAAATGAGGCTGAGGCGGATCGTAGATCCGCCTGGCAATTATTAACTGTAAGAGAAGAACTGACTTCGCGCCCGCAGAACGACCGAAGTGTTGCGGATGAATTTTCAGTAATTACTTTTTTGGCACTTTTCGGCGTCCAAATTGCATGGCGAGAGTAACCCAAAACTTTAAAGTAGACCCTTCTTGTCACAATACGAATGTTTTCCAGAAAGGGGCACGCGTTAATGTCAGCTTCACTCGCGTGATTGCAATTTTCAAGGTTAAACCCTCGCGTGGAACTAACAACTCAAGTTTACTTTAAAGCGCACAATGTAAGCCAAAGAAATTTTATAATTTAACTACAAGATCGAAATTTTGTTTACAAAGGATAATAATGGATCAACATCGACCTAGAGCGTCAGCTTCACTCGCGGGGAGTCAACCATTTTCTCTTGCCCCTTGCACAACATAGAATGCAAATTTGCTGACCCACTCTATTGATACACACAACTCGACAGTCGTTAGGAGTTGAAAAAGATGAAGTTTTTTACCAAAACCATGTATTTCCGATTTTTAAACGCTAACAAAAATGTAGTAATGGTATGTCCACTCCGGAAAATAATACCGCAAGCAACAGCAAGCCCTAACCGCGATGAGAACACTCATGGATCACACAGCGCAACAGACCTCATTTTGTTTGTTTGTTTGGGTTTTTTTCCGATAATATTGGCCTGTAAAGAAATATATAACGGAGTTTTTTTGCACCCTCCGCCGCAATCATATAATTGGCTAAATGCTAAGGGAGTAATATACTTTAAAGATATCATTAAAGGAGTAAAATCTTAAAAAAAAATTTTCCTGCTGGGGTTTCCTGGCGCGCCACTGCGAACACAGCGAACCTCTTGTATGAGGCTGCGAGAAAATAAAAAAGGACAAGTAGAAAAAGTTCTTTACTCACAAATCTCTTTTACAACCTATGACCGATTTTACATCTCGTGTCTGAAGCAAGAGTTGGAAATGTAAATACAATTTAATACGTTACGAGAAGAGGTATTTTACTCGTTGGTAATTTTATTCCTAAATTCGTTATTTATCTTTAATTGAAACATCACGGGATTTGAGGACAGACACCACCAAGGCAAACACAAAATCGACGTAAAAATTACCAGTCAACGGAACGTGTACTTATGATATGTAATTAAGTTAAGGTTGGTTAGGCATCTCAACAGGAAAACTATCTTTTTTTATTAAAACAAACATTGCTTTTTCATCACGACTTTTCGCGGTTAACGTTCAATTAAATCTGCAAGGGAAAAAAATCAGGACAAGTAAATTTAATTATGTCGCAATTCATACTCAAAATTAGTTTGTCATAAGATGAAGACGCACAGTCTAAAATGAAACAACTCCCAAAGAGAGACAGAACCAAATAAAAAAAGGAAAGATTTTGCCTTCAGATAACAACAGTCCAAATAGGACTGACTGCTCAAGAGAGACAGAACCAGGTGAAAAAAAAGGGAAAGGTTCTGCCTTCAGATAACAACAGCCCAAATAGGACTGACTACCCAAGAGAGACAGAACCAGGTGAAAAAAAAAGGAAAGGTTCTGCCTTCAGATAACAACAGCCCAAATAGAACAGACTACCCAAGAGAGACAGAACCAGGTGGAAAAAAAAAGAAAGGTTCTGCCTTCAGATAACAACAGCCCAAATAGGACAGACTACCCAAGAGAGACAGAACCAGGTGAAAAAAAAAAGGAAAGGGTTCTCCTTCAGATAACAACAGCCCAAATAGGACAGACTACCCAAGAGAGACAGAACCAGGTGGAAAAAAAAGGAAAGGTTCTGCCTTCAGATAACAACAGCCCAAATAGGACAGACTACCCAAGAGAGACAGAACCAGGTGAAAAAAAAGGAAAGGTTCTGCCTTCAGATAACAACAGCCCAAATAGGACAGACTACCCAAGAGAGACAGAACCAGGTGAAAAAAAGGAAAGGTTCTGCCTTCAGATAACAACAGCCCAAATAGGACAGACTACCCAAGAGAGACAGAACCAGGTGAAAAAAAGGAAAGGTTCTGCCTCCAGATAACAACAGCCCAAATAGGACAGACTACCCAAGAGAGATAGAACCAGGTGAACAAAAGGGAAAGGTTCTGCCTTCAGATAACAACAGCCCAAATAGGACTGAGTACCCAAGAGAGACAGAGCCAGGTGGAAAAAAGGGAAAGGTTCTGCCTTCAGATAACAACAGCCCAAACAGAACTGACTACCCAAGAGAGACAGAACCAGGTGAAAAAAAAAGGAAAGGCTCTGCCTTCAGATAACTACAGCTCACATACGAATGACAAAACCGGGAAAAAATTAAAAAATGAAGGTTCTTCCCTCACGGAGATAAGTCAGGGAACTAAAGACTGATTACCCGAGAGAGTGGGTAAGAAATAACAAAAGAACGAGAGCATCTTTAGGATTCTGCTTTCGAAACTGCGAAATAGTACAGTACGATTAGTAAGTTTTCGATGGTAAAACGTTGTCTCTACTTTACACCAATTTACTAACCTGGTTCTATGGCTAAAGTGCTTCGTCCAGAGTGCCTTCAAAGCGATCTAAATAGTGGCGCAGCCTCGAAAAAAAGGAAGCGTTCGAAAGAAACGTAGCAGCTCTACCATGAGAAGGCCTCGATAAACTAAAAGTGCTGGCCAATTCCATTTCTGATGCAGTCTCCCAACACATCGAAAAGTGTATTAATTATGATGGCGGTGGATGTTTTACAAGCCCCTTTTGGGAAGCCTAGGAATGAAATTTATGCCGGTCATGTGCTTGCCACAGGACGTCAACATTTACCCCTTTGAAACAATGAAACACCACACAGGCACTTTTTCGGTTTCTCTCGATAATCCTACTCTAGTGCCAGCTACACCTGGACCCGTCTGCATGAGAAGTCAGGTTCGTGCTAACAAGACGAAACCTTTGGTCGATGAAGTGGAAATGCTCTAGGCAAACCCTCACTACGCCCATGTGCGTTATCCTGACGCTAAGGAGACTACGGTGGCCACTAAGCACCTTACACCTCAGGGCCAAACCAAATTATTACTACCTCTTGACATGCTCTAAAAGCAACGGAGAACACGTCCCATGGGGAGGGCAATACCGAAACACGCATGATTCTACCTGTTCGCTGCTCTGGAAGGGTCCGCCGTTCAGTGGTCAGACTAGATCTTTGAAGAGGTGAAGGTTATATGTCGTAATTAAAATACTCCGTGGGGTTAAAATACTTCATGCAAAGAACTCTACCAGTGACATGCTGCGAACTTGGAATCTGCATGAGTTTAACGAAGGTTCACCTGTGTTTTTTGAGTTTGTTCGTTTCTAGAGCACGTGAATTCATTTTTGCACATCACTCTTGTACTAGTTGTATATTTAGGAATAACGGTATTAAACCCTTACGTCTTCAATGGTAAAACTTTGTCTCTACTTTACAAAATACAATTACTTTGCTGTGGGAAAAAAGAGTCCCTTTCCACAGAAAAGCGACAGAATCTTTAGCGAATCTTGACTGCTATCTGAACCAACCTGTAACAAGACTTAATAATAAATAGAGAATAATACATGGGCGCGCGTAAATATGGAATTTCCCTTCGCGTGTTTAACTCGATAGCTCATGAGTGAGCGCAGCGAACGAGTGAGATGTCAAGTTGAACACGAGGAGAGAATTTCCATATCTACAAGCAACCATGTATTATTTTGTTTATCATATAAACACAATAGCCCTTTATTGGGAAAAAAAACCAACCTCATTAAAAAATGAAAATAAATGAATCGGCAATCCTCGAATAATAATCGTATGGTGCGTTGGCGCTGACTCTTCAGATGGAAAATGCGTTGAATCATGATTACAAAAACAACAATGGTCGTGATTTTCAATTTACAAAATTCTCACTTATTGAATTTTTCCTTACCGACAGAAGAAGTCTTTCAGGTATTACGTAATACGTAATACGATATTTTTTCACGTGTGTTGTTACGGCTTTTCTCAGGGCCGGAAATCCTTGTATAACACCGAAGTTTATGTGATAAAAGGCTTTACTACCCGCACTTTGTCCATCTCTATCCCCCCCGCACTTTGTCCATCTCTATCCCCCCCCTATAAACAGTCAGCATTAGCAGAATCGTCACCGATATCCTTTGTGAGCCAAGTGTACGTTTAAGAAATACTATAAAAAACTGGGCAAGCATATAAAAGCAATCTAAGATAATTTGGTTTTATCAACTGAGCTGATGATGTGAAATGGCCACAGTGATAGCTCTTTGTGAGACCGAATCGAAACATCATAATCAAGTCGTCTTTATGATCCTGAGCGGGATCATAAATGATTTCGAGAATTAATGAGAAACCGTTGCCAGAATGTAATAGAAAAACAATCAGAGAGTAGCGTCACTACACAAATCTCTGAATTGAGGAGATATCAAAAAGGGGCAAAGCATTCAACGTTAAATAGTAACGCACAGCGTATAACTATTTTACCTACGTACTTACAGTTCACTATGATGCTGGCTGTAGCTGTAGCAGGTGTTCCCACTCCATTACTAGCTATGCACTGATACTGGATTCTGCTGTTTGCTGTCCTAGGACTGGTTACATTCACAACAGTGAGCAACGAGGCATTAGATAGAAGGTCAGAACTGCCAACCTTAGTCCATTTTATGCTGGGGTTTGGTTTGCCAGACGCAGCACATGTCAAATTCAAGTTGCTTCCTTCGACAACGATTTTTACTAATGGTGAAACTGTGACGTTTGGAGCATCTGATAAAAGATGAATACCGATAAATTTATGATACCATTTGAGAAATTATGATTATTATACTACTTGTAACAATATCAAGAGCCCTATATTTTCCATGAAATAGAAAAGCACTACATTGACCATTTTCATGCTATGAATAACCAGAAGCACATCGAATTTGAGCACTCGTAACTCAGCAGTTATGAGTCAATTTTCATTTTTTTACAAGACAGTTCTATTAAATGCATTGGAAAACATCTAATAAATTTGTGACACATCTCCCTATTGCCATCAGAATGAAAATAAAACATGCAGGGTCAGTTTTCAAAACGAAGGAAAAATTAGCCCGCATTGGTGTAATTTTGGCAGGCGGGTGCTTAGTATTTTCTTAGCGAAAATTATGGTTGCCATCCTTGATTTTAATGGCAGCGGAAGGCTGGGGAGAGAAAGAAATTTGTACAAAGGGGAGTGAAATTTTCCCACCCCCCTTCCCTCATCGCCGCCTCTATCTACAAATCAAACATGGCCGGTTGAATAAGCGATCGTGAGCTTCTTAACGTTAACTCGCCCTAATAAGACGCCTTTATTAACGAAAGTATCAGCAGAGGACCTAGGCACTATGCGTTACAAAGCAACTTTATGCAAGTATGTATCGAAGTAAACTTGCCAACGGCTGCGACGGTGACACTAGCATTCTCTCCTACGCCAACTTTGTTGATAGGAACACACGTGTAGGAACCATCAGACATCACGGAAACATGAAATATCCCTGAACCGCTGGTCTTGATGAGGCGATCATTAAAATATAAATGAAATTCAACTTCAGGGCTACCATCAGTTCGACAAGTTAAACTAAGGAGACTTTTGCGAAGCACTGTGGTGTTCCTGGGAACTGAAATGAGTTTTGTGCCAGCAGGAACATCTAAAAGAAAATAGAAAAGAATAGAGTCACGAGACTTAATACAGTTTATCGTCAACTTCTTCTATCGCTGTCAGTCTGACACCGATGCAGCGGAGGGAAAAGCCGGTTTTCATATTCGTTTTACAGGTCATGCAAGACTTTTGGTAAAAAAAAAAAACCCGAGATAGAGGCCTGAGAAATGATCGCCATTGTATAAAATTAGTCAATAGCGTGAAAACGCGCCCACTGATAAAGCGCTCTGTTTCTGCCAATAAGAACGCGCGTGTTATTGAAAAACTACACAGTTCACACAATCGAATACTTACAGTGCACTGTCACTGCTAGTGCTCCTTTTGTTCCATTACCATAAAAATTGAACGGAATGCAGCTGTAGTTCACCATTCTTGCTCTTTCAACAACTGAAGTTATAATCGCTGCATCGTTGTCTGCACCATTGACATACTCATTACCTTTGTACAATCGATACTTTGCAGGTGGGTTGGCCCGTGCACTGCAGGTGATACTGAACGTTTCATTCACAACAACGACGTTGTTAGTCAGATTAGTTGTCACAATAGTGTTTACTGGGTGGTAGTCTAAAATGAATTCAAATCAATTGGCAAAATTATTCTTTTTTCAGTAAACACAATGTAGCTAAATCAGTTGTCTCACAAGCAGCGGAATGTGTGAATTTAAAAGAAAAACACTCCTCTGGTTGAGCTAAGGTAAGTTTTATACCCTTGCAGATGACTGTCTACCTAAAAAATGCACGGCTGACAAGTCGAAGTCGATTCGTTACAGATGTAGAGTCGATTCGATACAAACTGAAGTTGTTTCGATACAGAAGTAAACTCGCGAAAAGTTCAGTCTTGGTGTGTTAGTTTTCGTCTTTGATGTGTTGTGTTTTTTTTTCAACAAATTAGCTAAAATTCGACTCGATTAATTAAGCGACTCGATCGATCGACGTAGCTGTAATATCCAGTTTACCCGCGACTCGATCGACCAAGTTGTATTACTCAGTTTCCCCCCAGTCAAAAAAGAGAAAACCTTAGTGAATATTTATTTAAATTACTAAATTACGTTTACGTAGATCATGACTTTCGCAGATGCGGTGGCTCCTAATAGAGCCGTTTTTGGCGACCTGAAATCGTCCAAAGCAACGAAATCAGGGCGCGGTGGCTCGTAAAAGAGCCGTTTTATGAAGCGTCTTCTCATTGCGTAGGAGGCTTGGATACATGTGGAGGTTCGCGGAGGTATGGGTTTGTTTTATTTACAAAAGAAGTTTGTGTTCGCTGTGGTGAGTATGTCTTTGAAGGTTCGTTTGGTCATTTATTTACTATAGTATTCTGGATCGAAACGACTTGAAGTAACGTGAGTTTGTATGGAATCGACTCTACATGTGCAACGAATCGACTTCGACTTGTATCGAAACGACTTTCAATCAAAACGAATGGATTCCATTTTTTACCTTGAATCTGGCATATCGGTGCATTATACCATATATCTCACCTGAATTGTAAATTCTGACAAAGGACACAATTTTGTGAAAAGTAACTGAACTTGTTTTGTCAGATATTTCAGGTATATTTACAGGAGTTAAATTGGTAAATAAGCCTTTCATTGTTTTTACAGCCTTTAAAAATTTTTGATCGAAATGTTTCGACCACTCAAGTGAAAGTGCTAGTTTGGCACCGGGGTCAAAAAAATATATTTAGTGACGGTATCGTCGCACGACTCGAAAATTTACTAATTACATCACTTAGGAGTATTTTTTCCCTTTGTCTTCTGGAAGATGGATCTTAAGCTATATGATTGGGTACATTTTCCAGCTGAGAGGTTTTGCAACTCTGTGTAACCTCAGCCAATTAGAAGTGAAGGGAAGCAGTTGAAAAGTAACTTACTCTGCACAAAAACATTGAAAGTCCTGCTTTCCAGGCTGCCAACACCATTACCCGCAGTACACTTGTAGCCTCCTTCATCTTGTTTACCAGTGATGATGAGAGGGAAGGACACAGCCTTGTTGTCATAAACTCTTGTCCAGGTGATATTTGGTGTTGGATTACCATCAGCCACACATATTGGATCTAATGTGTCACTTTCATTCAGGGTCTGATGACCAGAGGTGTAGTTGATCTTTGCTGCATCTGTCATGTAATCATCCTATTAAAATTAGTTCATTGAAACTTAAACAATTTAACAACAAAGTTTTCACCGAACTAAATGAAAAACTTAAAATAACCAGCCGACAGAAGCCATACTTGTTTTCATTTAAATGGGATATTAAAAAAATTCCCCAACATGGTTGCTACCAACACCAGCTTAAAAATTTCCCTTTCTTGTCCGCCATCTAACTAAAAGGTACCTGAATAGAACACAATTTCATGTTCTCTTCACCTGACCAAGTAACCATACAGTAGCAACGTGCAACCTCTTTCCCACACCCATCCTTTCAAGCCATTGATATATTATCAATGCAATTTCCCTGACTGCGAAGCTTTCCCTAACCTTAACCCTTTCTTGCCTTAGATCTTAATATCAATTCTCTCCACTGCCTGCCATGCGTTTCTTCAGCTCTAATAATTTGTATTTAAGGGGGCATTACGGTTGATTCATGGTAAGATTTTTGTAGCTTACTTAGAAAGTAGGTAGTTTAAAGCTGCATATGGCTACTGATGTGGCACAATTTTTAAAGCGTTGAAAAGAACTCGAGGTTTTATTATGATGCAAGAAGGCAGAGTTGCAGACGATTTGTTTCACATGCAAAACAGAAAACCTGCCGCATCCCACATACTTGTCAATACCCTGTTATAAGAGAGAAAGATAATTCAAGGATGTTGTGAATAATTGACACTCAACCAATAATGAAATGGTAACAAATAGTCATATTAATAATAATAATGATCATGATGATGATGATGATGATAATGATAACAATAGTTATAGTAATGATAAGTTATAGCGGTTAGCTCTAACACATCACTGTTCCTCTACCGGTCTATCCTTCAGGCCCCAATAATGATTAACTTATGTTTCTTTCAATTTCGCCTGTTCATTATAAATTATTTTCTTATTTCATTGCAATTCCATTTTTGTGAGACTTTTATTTCATACAACGCATTCTGCGTCGTAAGAGATTCTGCCATCCTATCATTCCGTCGAGGAGGGTCGCCCAGTTAAACTCAAGGTATCGTATTTCGGTCCTCGCTCGCTTCACATATTGGGTATAAGTCCCTGACTGACATGGTCAAATGCTCTCTTTTCGAAAAAATATTATTTTTTCAAAGTCTCCTCGATATGCAGATCAAACCAATTAAGATATTTCTGCAAGGATAAGTCTCGTTCTCAACTTGATTATTTGCCAGAAGCTACAGTGAATATATTTTGAATTTTTTTTCATCTTTTGTAATGTCACGGCAAGAAGTGAAAAAATTATATCTTCGGATCTAATGGGTATAATTTGCAGATTCAAACGGGAATATGCTCTCTCTTCAAAGAAAATGTTTATCCTCCAAGTTTTCATGACGCACCGATCACACCGTTTTGGGACATCTCTTCAAGGTAAAACTTTGTTTTCTCACGCACCACCCTGAAATGATTGTGAGATGTTTATCGTCTTCTGTAGTACTCCGAACCAATCAATAAGTAGCATCGGGAAACATTGTGATCATGTGCTAATTCCGATTAACATTCGAAGTGTTTCGAAGAAAGCGCCACCAAGCGTTGAATGACCGAAGATGTTCCAAAACAAACGAAAGCCAAGAGCGAGGAATATCGGGAAAACTTGGCAGACCGTTATGGGATGAGAGGAAGTTTGTATTCTCTTGTTACTCTCACTCACCGTAACTCACTGAAAAGGACACCATTATGGCACCAAAGGATCAACTGTTCAATCAAATAAGCTCGAACTCAGTAATAAGTCACCAAGGTAATTGGTTACCACATGACATATTCAGTGTTTACATATTGTTTATTTCAGGTAAATGATTAACAAATCTATTTGGAGTGCTCTTTTTCGGGGGCCCTCACCATTTCCTTTTAAAAGAATCACTTTCACATATAAAACCAGTTATACTCCAGGTAAGGCAGTTTTACTTGATAAATTCGTAGATGATTACATAAAGAATGTCTGTTCCAAATTTGGTGACAATAGCTTATATACTTTTTAAGACTTATGAGGGACCAAAAGAATGACCTCGAAAAAAGTTTTTTTCGGAAAAATCAAATTGAAACTTATACTCAAATTTCATTGCAAAGGCTAATAACTCCCTGAGATGGCCCTCTACGCACCACAGCACACTAAAGGTGTGCTTAGGCTTTTTTTGTAACACTCTGCACAGCTATCCTCCAGCTTCGTAGCCTATGCTGTGCAGGGTTACACACTACCTTTCTTTTATCGGTTTATCTTTTGTTAATGCAAGTCCTTACTGTCTGTGTCTTTCTTGAACCCTGCACGCTGCATGTTGAATTCTTCTATTACCTCTTCTCCTTGGTTCATTCCAACTATGTTTGCCAGTCGAGATATCAGTTTTCTTAATGACATTAATTTTGTTTGTAGCACCACAACTAAAGACCTAAGCTGCAGACGATGCGGCCATAAAAATTTGTTTTCTTCCATGCCACTTGAGCTTGGAACATTTGTTCTATACTAATACACTGACAGGCTCATTGGTATTTTGGTTGAATCCAAGCAAGCATCTGATGAAGATCGAGTGCTGGCTCACTCGGACAATCATGAATCTTTTCAAGGGGTTCCTTGCCCACCAATGTCATCACTACCCGACGTACAAAAAGCAATACTGAGGAAGTTCGTATATTAAATCAAGGCGGTAAAGAGGCTGCCTCACTATTGCCATCTCAACGCGGTTTTAAATAAGCCTCCTTGAACATCATTAAATTAACTACTCTCATCGATGAACTTAGAATTTTTGTAGCACATAACGCAATAGATTAATGAAACTAATTTAAATGAAACTATTAGCGACAACGAGGTTAACGTCTTAGGCTATGATATAGTTCGACGTGACAGAGCTACAGGCGGTAGGGGAGGAGTATGCTTTTACGTGAAAAAAACCAATAAAATTTACCGTACGAAATGATCCAAACATGGAAACTCTTGAAAATCTATGTCTAGAAATTAAACAATCAAGATCTAAATCGTTTCTTGTCGTCACGTGGTACAGACCACCTGATTCTTCTATCGGTATCTTCTTGCCTTTCGAACATTTAATTGGGAATCTCGATCTGGAAAATATTGCATATTATCTAATGGGAGACCTTAATACGTGCGGGTCCCGGAATATTCCGGATTTCCGAACATCATCGTTTTATTGGCGGAGAAGTTCCGGGAGAAGTTGTATTTGTCGATGAAGGAACTATCGATGAAGTTGTCGGTGGAGAGGATAGCAATTTTGATGAAAACACAGATAATTATGAAAGCAGCGAAGAAGAAGATGACAGAAGAGAAGAAGACAGTGATGGCGAGGAGGAGAGCGAAGAAGAAACTGAAAACTTCTTCTTCTTCTTCTTCTTCTTCTTCCTCTTTCTTCCTCTGAATCGACAAAACACACACGGCATCTATGTAAAGCAGAATTTCCTTATTTTTTTTTCTATTTTACTTTTAAATTTTAGATCATGTTTATATAGATTAAAATAGATTGTAACTGTAATAATAGATTGTAATAATATTATTATTTTATCTGATAGATTTACCGTGTCTAAATAAAAATAAAGTTCAAGTTCAAGTTCAAAGAAGAAGACAACTGGGTCCTTGGCGATCGTATCCCGAGAAGGCTTGACCCCACAGCTGATCGAGGGTTGAATGTGGAGCTTCCTGACAATCCATCATTCTCTGACTACTTTCATCTCCTCTTCCCTGAAAACCTATTCGATGAGATTGCATCCCAAACAAATAAATATGCAACGGAAACAATTGCATCTTTACAGCGAAGAGATCGTTTACCTCAGCACTCTAGGTTTAGAAATTGGCCTGAGGATGGTGTGACATCTGCTGAGATGAAAGCTTTTCTTTCCATGATAATTGCCATGGGCCTGGTGAATCAAGAGAATATCCAGGATTACTGGTCCACCGACGCGGTTTTATCTACTCCCTTTCTCCCTCAAATTATGTCAAGAGACAAGTTTATGACCATTTTAACATTTTTTCACTTGTGCGATAATGATAATTATGTTCCTCGAGGACAGGAAGGGTATAACCCAGTAAACAAGCTTGGCACTATACACAGTGTTGTCACTGGGAATTTTTCAGATGTCTGGAAGGCAGGCAAAAATATTTGCATAGATGAGGGAATTATTCTATTCAGATGAAAAGTGCACTTCAAAGTGTACAATCCAGACAAGCTAGATAAGTATGGTGTTAAGTCATACCAGTTGTGTGACTCAAGTAATGGGTATTGTTGTAGGTTTGAAATTTACACGGGTGTGAACCAAGACCCACCCAGTGCTAAAGGCAAAACATATGACTTAGTCATGAGGCTCATGCAACCTTATTTGAATGTGGGTAGGCGTTTGTAGGTTGACAACTACTACACGTCACCTACTTCATTTGCTAAGCTCTATGGGCAAAACACTGGGGCCTGTGGAACAGCCTGCTACAGGAAAGGTATTTCCCAGGAATTTAAAAGGGCACAAGTGAAAAAAAAAAGGTGACAAGTTTGTTATGAACAATGGAACTTTGCTGGCAGTTAAATTTAAGGACCGCAGAGTTTTCCAGATGATGTCACCAGTTCATTCCGTTGCAGATGTAGAATGTTACAGCCGGAAATGGACATGACACTGTTTATTCAATTTTCAAATGAGACATTTTAGTGACGCTTAGATGAAATGATTAAGTGTAAAAAAATCCGGATGTGAGCACATGGTTTTGTCTTTTTTTTTTGTGTTCGCTCGTACAATTTTTGGATGGTCGCCTGTATACGATTGTAAAGCTTATTTGGAAACTAATACAGGCAAGAATTGTTCCTACTTTAGTACTGGTGGATTTTTTTTGGTAGTGGGAACATAGAAGTTGGCCGAAATCATCTTGGAACTGGTCGCCCAATCACTAAACCCGAGATTATACATGACTACAACAAGTTGATAGGTGTGATCAGATGGTGGCTTATTCTTGCTTCAGGGGACGCACCATGAAATGG